TTGTGCTACTTTTCCTTTTACAAAATAAACTAGAAGAACAAGATCTATGTGATAAACTAAATGGACAAAATTGTTTACTGGATTTAAGACTAGTGATAGAAAAGGTCCATGACCAAGTAGAACATGGAGATATGGAGAGCAGCCTCTGGTTTTGAAGTTTAAGCCCTGAATCCCCTCATTTATTTCTAAAAAGTATGTAAGCGCTTTGTGAGAGAGTCTGAATGGGCCATAAACAACAGTAACCACAACAAAAAAGCAATCCCACTGCCAACAAGTTGATTTAAACTCAACAACCCTATAGGTTAGAGTACAACTACTCCATAGGGTTTCAGAGACTGTAAATCTTTACCAGAGCAGACACTCTCAACTTTTCTCCCAAGGAGTGGCTAGTAGGTTTGAACCATAGACGTCTTGGTAAGCAATATCACCACAGCTTCAGCTTTTGGACATAATGTTGTTCAGTGCCACTGAGTTGGTCCCAACTCATAATGGCCTTCCATTGCATAGGGTTTTCAAGGAATGACTTGTGGTTTTAAACAGCCAACCTTCGGATTAGCAGTCCGGTGCTTATCCAGCGGAGCCACACAGAACATAATAGGTATTATTATTCAAAAAGGTATGGCATCAAGGTTTTAATCCTCATTTGCATTTATTTATTAGGTAAGGATCTCTGGTACCTTAATGGTTAAGAATTGGGCTGTTAACCTCAAGGTCAGCAGTTCAAAACTGCAAGCCATCCCATATGAGAAAGATGAGGCTTTCTGTTCCCATAAGGATGTACAGCCTTGGAAACCCTATGCAGGATTGATATGAGTTGGAATCGACTCCATGGCACACCACCACCACCACCATGTACTGTGAACACAAGAAATCAAATTTAGGGCAGTAAAGATGCTGCTGCTACTGATTCATGCCATCAAATTGGTTCTGATTCATATTGACCCTGTATAGGATTTCTGAGACTGTAAATCTTTATAGGAGTAGACAGCCTCATCTTTCTTCCTTGGAGCAGCTAGTGGATTCAAGCGATTAGCAGCCCAGAGCATAACCCACAACACTATCAGCGCTCCTTAGTGAAGAAGTTGTTAAGTGCCATCTAATTGGTTTTTACTCATAGCAACCCTGTATAGGGTTTCGAAGATATGCCTGATGAGTTTGAACTGCTGACCTTGTGGTTCAAACCAACTTTGCAGTTCAGTGCTTTTTTTACCACAGCTACAGTGCCACACCAGGACCCCAAATAAAGAAGATAGTGGAAGTCTGGAAATCAAAATCTAGTGTAGAACAAAGGTGAAAAGCAGGAAAAACAAGTTTAAAACAAATAAATTAAAACAGCATGAGCTTGTGTAAAAATTAGAGCTAAAATAGTTCAATCTATTATAAGTAAAACTGAAAACATTTTAGTTAAGGATGTTGTTGTTGTTGTTAAATGCCGTCGAATCGATTCCAACACATAGTGGCCCTGTGTAGGGCTTCCCAAGAGTAGCTGGTGAACTTGAACTGCCGACCTTGTGGTTCAAACGGCTTTGCAGTCTGGTGCATTAACCCACATAGAGTGCTGTTTATTTATAGCTGAAAAGCATTTTCCTTGATTATACAACAAGATAGAATAAAAGAGGTTTTGCATGTGGGATATATTATAAAAGAGTCGTATTTTCCTGATTTGTCTCCTAAGTCTGGGTATGTTCTGTGTTTCAACCTAACTGGTAAACAAATGAAGTAATTCTATTCTTTCATAGAGGCAGAGAGGATAGGAAATTACTTTCTCTGTTACTATTTAATGACCCTCTACAAAATTTATAAATTAACCTGCCCTGATCAGCTGCAGACAACTTTGCTATTAGATAGACTATTTGGGGATTTTACTAGATTATTTTTTCTCTAATAAAATATATTAGAGTCACAATAAAGCTCAGCATTAATCGTAAACTAGAGAGTTTTGGACTGTATTTAGAGCATTTGTTGCTGAAACAACTTTTCCAAGGTCGTTTCTTCCGTAGTATAGTCCTACTCCGTGCACTTAGGACAGCCATATATAGCAGCAGGATTTCAAATAGTTTGTTACTCCTGTGTTTCTAATGATAAGTATGTAAAACTCCTTTTTAAAAATGATAGCTCTCATTTAAGCATATTAGTTAAAATTTGTTGGACGCAAGGTCATTTGGATTGATGGTTTCAGCATTATGTTGTATCTGTTTAAATCCAGAAAGTAAAATGCTTATGGTGAAAAAGACACTTCTCTGTTTATATGAATATAGGCAAACACTATTAAGAACTTCTAATTTCTAAATGTCTTGCTTATCAATTTCTAGTTACACTTTATCCCTAACTCTGGCCAGCAGTTCAGTTGTCCTGAACTGATGGCATTGATGTGTGTGACTGACTACCATTGTATCTCCCCCTCAGAAAGGCATATGTCTCCATGAGTACTCTGTTGTGTTGTTAAGTGTCATTGAGTTATCTCCAACTCATAGCAACCCTGTATAGGGTTTCCCAGGAGCGTCTGGTGAGTTTGAACCACCAATCTTGTGGTTCAGACCAACCTTGCAGTCCAGTGCTTTATCCCACAGTGCCACATCATAACTCCATTCTGTTGTATGTTGTTGTTAAGTGCCATCGAGTTGACTCCAACGTATAGCAATCCTTTATAAGGTTTCTGAGGAGCAGCTGGTGGGTTTGAACTGACCACCATCTGGTTCACAGTCAAGTGCTGATCCTACAGTGCCACACCAGGAGTCCATTCTGTTGTATGTTGTTGTTGTTAAGTGTCATGGAGTCAGTTCCAATTCATAACGACCCTGTATAGGGTTTCTGAGAAGCATGAACTGAAGACCTTCTGGTTCAAACCGATATTGTAGTCCAGTGCATTAACCCGCAGCGCCACACTAGGACTCCATTCTAATGTATGGTGGTAGCTGTGTGCCGTGGAGTTGGTTCCAACTCATAGCGACCCTGTACCGGGTTTCCGAGGCTATAAATCTTAATGGGAGCAGAAAGCCTCATCTTCCCACGGAACAGCTGATAGTTTTGAACTGCTGACTTTGCAGTTCACAGCCCGATTCATAACCACTATGCTACCAGAGCTCCTTATTCTAATGTATAGTAGCATTTAATTTTTGTTACAGAACTCTATTGATGTGCATTTAAGATGCTTGGAGAGGTTTTATTTTATTTTATTTTACATATATTTGTTTGAAGTTGTGCAAATGCTTTCTTTAGGATTAAGTCCTACAGTAAAATAGGTGGAGCTATATCTATCTATCTATCTCTATATAGATCTATATATAGAGATAGGTAGGTAGATAGATAGATAGGTAGATATGTATATCTCCATCTATTTATATATATATTAGGGTATTAGACTCCTGGTGTGCCTCTGTAGGATCAACACTGAACTTCAAACCACAAGGTTGGTGGTTCAAACCCATAAGCTACTCCTCGGGAACCCTATACAGGGTCGATATGAGTTGGAACCGACTTGATGGCACTTAGCAACACAAAAGTATAATATATAGGATAAATGAGGAGACTTTTAAAAGTTTGTGGAAAATGGAATAGAAGAATAATAGAATTTTTCCTTGAACTTTTTGCAGCCCCCTCAGCTATGTCTGAGTGGTGGAAGCCGTGAAGCACTTGACTACTAGTGTTAAAGATTGGTGGTCTGAATCCACCCAGAGCCCCTTAGAAGACAGGCATGACGATATGCTTCCTAAATGTCACAGCCTTGGAAATGTGTGGAGCAGGTCTACTCTGCAACATCACAAGTCCCCGGGAGTCAGAGTACCAATCATTCAGTGACTCATTTCTCTGCACACACTAAATACACTTTGGTAGCTTGATAGAATTATAACTAGAAACACTTTAAAACCTCTCATTTTCAAAACACAGTTCTGAAAGTTGTTTTCACTTGTGTCAGACAAAAATCACATGAAGCAGTACAAATTCAGGAATTTTGAGGTTTTGTTTGTATTTATAGTTTCATGGTCTTAGGTCTTCTTTGTATAATTTGGCATGGTCTGATTTTGAAGCAAAGTGTTAAATCTACATTTGCTTATATTATTTATATAGATCCAGAAAATGAAACTGAAATCACTAGACTGTGAACATGTAGTAGCCCTTGTCTCAAGTAATTAAAAAGATATGATACATGAATGTAAAACTTGAAAATTACTTACTAGAGATGGCTGCATAAATCTGCTTATTTTGAACTCAGAAGTTGACTTTGAACCTTTGAATTAGACTGAAACTTTGTTCATCTCAATCCAGGCCTTCTTTTATCTTCGTTAGAATGATTTTCTACTTTTATAGTCCATTTTAATTTAAGACCTTAGGAATCATGAAGTTTTGTAGATTAAAACATCTGAGCAAACATGGTTATCAACTTGCTACTAGATATGCAAAAGCAAAAAAAACCTTATTTGAATAAATTTAGGATGAGTGGTGGTCTAGTTCACATTTCCTTTTAAAGCAGTGATTCTTAACCTGGCTTGTATACTAGTATTGCCTGTGTAGCTTTTTAAAAAATACTGATGGCCAGATTCACCCCCAGAAGAGTGGGTCCCAGTAGTGAGAGTTTCACAGAAGCACTCCACATGAATTTTGCTATGTTGCAGCCAAAGTTAAGAACTATAAAGATGTATTCTTCCTAAACTCTGGAAATCCCTATTTTTGCCACAACTCAAAACAATTAGGAAAAATTACTTTAGAGTCTCTTACTGGTAATGTGAGTTGCTGTGGGCGGACCAGTTAGAATAAGCCCCATGTAAACTGATTTAACAGACTTCTGAAGCTCAGAGAAATTTGAATAAGAAAATTAAATGAGCTATTGCTGGTTTGTTATCAATAATGTATACACTCATTTATTTACTTCAGTTTATAGGTGCAGTTGTTCTGAGCAAGAGTAGCTACTAGGTTCTCATTTAAATTATACTACTGGAGCTTAATACTGTGACGCAATTGGAATGTTCAATTGTAACTGTGTGTCCTATATAACTTTGTAGAATGGAAGCGTCTTGCCTAGAACTGGCTTTGGAAGGGGAACGTCTGTGTAAATCAGGGGACTGCCGTGCTGGTGTGTCGTTTTTTGAAGCCGCTGTGCAAGTGGGAACTGAAGACCTAAAAACGCTTAGTGCTATATACAGCCAACTGGGCAATGCTTATTTCTATTTGCATGATTATGCCAAAGCTTTAGAATACCATCATCATGATTTAACTCTTGCAAGGTAATTATTTAAGCTTTTTAATAGTCTCCCTCCCTAAACGAACTGTTTAGACATGTTTCCGTTCAATTTCAAAAACCCAATACATTTGATGAGTTCTAATTCAGTAGTATTGCTTTTTGAAACTAATCTTTAGGCTGAGCATAGAATTTAATTAAATAAATGATGATGAAATGACCCTAGAGTGTAACTAAATTACCGAAAATTTAATTTAAATACAGAAATGAAAGTTTTAAATTGTTATTTAAAGTAGATCTCAAGGCCTGTGATTTTTACTTACCTTAAAAGCATATCTGTTATCCTCTTGGAAAATGAACTTATTCTGACTAATTGATATTTTAATACCTTTTTCTTTTTTCTTTTTCTTAGGACTATTGGGGATCAGTTGGGGGAAGCTAAAGCTAGTGGTAATTTGGGAAATACCTTAAAAGTTCTTGGGAATTTTGATGAAGCTGTTGTTTGTTGTCAGCGACACCTCGATATTTCCAGAGAGCTCAATGACAAGGTAATATGGGAACAGGAGAGATGGTAGGCCAAATGTTTTCATTGAAATTACATGGTCGTTTACCATTTAATTCCCCTGTAGTTTATATAAACATTAATGGCAAAAAGTAAAGTTGTTGTTGATGTAAAGTTCAGTAGAGTTGGTTCTAACTCAGTGACTCTGTATAGGGTTTCCGAGGCTTTAAATTTCACAAGAGCAGAAAGCCTCATCTTTCTCCTTTGGAGCTGCTTAGAGGCTCAAACCATGGACTTATTAGTTTGCAGTCCATTGCTTGTCTTATGGAGCCAGAGCCATCATGTTCCCCAAAAGTAAACTATTCATAGGCAAATAGAAGAAAAGGAAAACATAATTTTAAAAAATCTTAAATACATAAGGAGATAATGAGAGGCCCTTCTTTTATGAGTAATCATTTATTTACTTAATTCTGTAAGGGTGGTCACTGAAAACATTTCTTTTCCTTGACCTTTATCAAAGATATTACATGTGATAAGCATTCTAATGCCCAACTTCTGAGTTTCACATATAAACTCTGCTGATGTCCATTTAGGTGGGAGAAGCAAGAGCGCTTTACAATCTTGGAAACGTGTATCATGCGAAAGGGAAAAGTTTTGGTTACCCGGGTCCTCAGGACACAGGTGAATTTCCAGAAGAAGTGAGAGAGGCCCTGCAGGCAGCCGTGGATTACTATGAGTGAGTAGCCCGGAGGCAGTCATGTTGGCTCAACTGAGCAGATCTTCTGTACCTTCTGTATCTAGTCATAACTTTTTAAGTTTGGCAAGTTTTAAAATTATGGGCTAGCATATAAAAATAAACCATTAAATCAGTTGCTAACAAATTAGTGTCATGTTAGTATAATCCCCTTTTGTGGAAGCTTTTGTTGCAACTGCAGACCAGTGCCACTTAGTGGCGAAAAGAAGAATTAACAGTGGTTAGTCTAAGTTATTTAAAGTAAATTTAGAATTTCATAAAATTTCTGAGCTATAGGAGTTCTAAGATTAAATCTGCCCTGGACTGTAGGCACAAACTTACCTGAGAAGTTCAATAAAGTGTCCCCAGCTATTTTCTGTAAACACTCTCCATCATTTGTGTATCTTTAAAATGTGCCACATAATGGCTATAAACTTATTTTTTTTAAAAATCTGATTAAAAAGTTATGTTTGTAAATCAAATAAGTAACCTTTTTTTCACAACTTTTACCAACTAGGGAAAACCTATCATTAGTGACTGCCTTGGGTGACCGAGCAGCCCAAGGACGTGCCTTTGGAAATCTTGGAAACACACATTACCTCCTTGGCAACTTCAGGGATGCAGTTATAGCTCATGAGCAGGTACAGTGGATGGCTAGGTCATTTTCACCATCAAAGTTTTGAACTGTGATTTTAGATTACTCTTTGTTTTATTTTTATTATAGCCATATCTAATTCAGATTTTCTGTTTTAGCGTCTCCTTATTGCAAAAGAATTTGGAGATAAAGCAGCTGAAAGAAGAGCATATAGCAATCTTGGAAATGCATATATATTTCTTGGTGAATTTGAAACTGCCTCTGAATACTACAAGTTAGTCTAATGTTTTCTATAATAGATAAACAAAATTAACTCATATTTAATCATGGTTTGGGGTTTAAAACCTGGATTTGCTGCATACCAGAAGCATGACTTTGGGTTCCTAGACCTCAGTTTGTTATCTGTTACATATGGTATCAATTCCTTGCTTTTGAGGACTAAAGTACTTACTTAGCACACATGTTCTACATAATACTATTGTACCTAAGAATAACAGTAACGTTAAGTGCCGTTGATTCGTTTCCAACCCATAACTACCCAGTGTAGGGTTTCTGAGGAGCGACTGACGAACTTGAATCACTGACCTTGTTGTTCACACTGACCTTGCAGTCCAGCGCACACCAGAAACGTAGCAGTATGTTATTATTGTCCTGTGCCATCTAGTTGATTCTGACTCATAGCAACCTATAGGGTTTGCTAGACTATGATCTTTATGGGAGCAGCTCTTTGGGTTCGAACTGCAGACCTTTCAGTTAGTGGTTGAGCGCTTAACACTGCGCCTTTAGTAGCAGTATAAAAGCCCAAACCCATTGCAGTTAAGTCACATTCCGACCTATGGTGACCTTTTAGGACCTAGTACAACTGCCCACTATGGTTTCCAAAGCTGTAATCTTAACAGAAGCACACTGCTGCATCTTTCTCCTGCAGAGCAGCTGATAGGTTCAAACTGCTAACCTTTTGGTGCACAGGTGAGTGTTTAACCACTGTGCCAGCCACCAGGGCTTCTAGTAACAGTGGTGTTGGTGGTAGTGTGCCGTGAAGTTGGTTCCGACTTATAGTGACCCTGTATAGGGTTTCTAAGGCTGCAAATCTTTACGGGAGCAGAAAGCCTCATCTTTCTCCTGCGGAATGACAGTTAGTTTCGAACTGCTGACCTTGAGGTTAGCAGCTCAACTCATAACTGCTATGCTACCAGAGCTCCTTCTTACTAGTAAGAGTAGAAATCCCTTTATATTTTCATTAGTTTTTTGTTTTTTAAACTATTATAAAATGAAATTCTAAACTTTTAGACTTTTAAACTTATTTGGCATATGTGGTTTATATCTGCATGTGCTGTTTTCATGCAAACATGGATTTGAAGAGAGGCCAAACGAAAGCCTAATAACAAAACATAGCCTTAATTTTCACCCGTGATCAGTGAGTTATCCCCACATCTCACCCTCTTGAGCAGTTATTCACCCACCTTTCTGCCCACCTTTGGCTTTCACTGTTAGCAGAGGTCCAAGTCACCTACATGAGGAGTTGGCAATCCCAGCCTCTTCCCAATCTATTAGCAGAATAGAAACAAACATAGATGGTGGCAAAGTTTAGATAACTTCAAGTTAACTGGTCTGTGCTTTCTAGATCATTTGGCATTTTCCTTAGTTAGTGGGGATTGCAGTTCTATACCTTAACTAGACCAAAGACACAGTGATTGAGTTGTATTTTAAAGAGCCCAATGTGAGAGAGTTCTAGGGAGTTTGTCATCTAAAAATAATTAAAATTACTTTGTTGTTGGTAAGTGCTATCGAGTTGGTTCCTACTCATAGTGACCTTGTTGTAGGGATTCTGAGGAGTAAGTGGTAAATTTGAACTGCTGATCTTACAGTTCAAACTGACCTTGAGGTCCAATGCATTATCCCACAGCACCACACCAGGACTCCTTTTGTTGTTGTTAGGTGCCATCGAGTCGGTACCGACTCTTAGAGACCTTATGCACAGCAGAACGAAGCACTGCCCAATCCTGGGCCAACCTCACTGCTGTTGCCACGCTTGAGTCCATCGATGCTGCCCCTTAGCCAGTCTATCTCGTTGGGGGTCTTCCACTTTTTCTCTGACCCTCCACTTTAGCAAACATGATATCCTCTTCCAACGACTGGTCCCTCCTGACAATATGTCCGAAGTATGAGAGACTAAGTTTGGCCATCCTGGCCTTCAGGTCTGCTTTTTTAACAGACCTAAAGGAGTCCTCTGCTATTGAAAACCTTATGAATAGCAAAGGACTCCTTTAGGTCTGTCAAAAAAGCAGGTATTCACCCTGCTTTAAACAGTGACTGACGGTTAATATTTTTGGTTGATTATTTACATGTGAATTATATTCTCCCAAATACATCACTATAAAAGGAGGTATATATTTTTATTTTAAATATAAAAACTCCTTAAATTTTAAATTTAAAGGGCATTAAAAAGTTCCCTCAGTATACAGACTACGTTTCAGGTTTACACATACTCCAAAAATCGTGGTTAGAAATATTTTTTGAACGCTCCTTTTGTAATTGATTTACACAAGAAGTCTCTCTAATATCATTAATAGAGCCGTATCCTTCAGGATATGAAATAGTCATATGATAAACATATTTAATTCAGTTTGATTCCAGAAAGACTTCTGACCATTTACAAATCAACTATACTCTCAAAGAATAATGTGCTTAAAAAGGGTTGTGCCACAGCATGTGAAAACAGTTCCCAAAGTGTTTGGAAGGCAAGCAGCATCAGAAGTTTGTAGTCTCCCAAGGTAACTGTTTTGAAGGTATCATCATTAAATATATAATTTTAAGTTTGTTATAAAAATCAATTACATTACCATGTAGCATTTCTTACATAGTTATAAATGATATGAAGTATTTATACTATTTAAGGAGCTCTGGTAGCATAGTGGTTATGAATCAGGCTGCAAACCGCAAGGTCAGCAGTTCAAAACTACCAGCTGTTCCATGGGAGAAAGATGGGGCATTCTGCTCCCGTAAAGATTTATAGCCTTGGAAACCCTATGCAGGGTCTCTATGAGTCGGAACCAACTCCACAGCACAGAGTCACCACCACCACCACCATTTATACTATTTGGCAGAAATTATGGGAAAGGCCCATTGAAATATATTGATTCCAAACACATCTGTAGATTTAAGTATCAGTGACAACAGAATTGATATTTATATGATATCCACTCTAAGCAGTAGTCCTGGTGGTGCCATGGATTATGTGTTGTGTACTGCACATCAAAAGGCCAGCTGTGTGAACTCACCAACCACTCCTCAGGAGAAAAGAGAAGGTCATCTGTTCCCATAGAGTTATCCAGCTCCCCAGGGTTTTGCTCTGTCCCATGGAGTCACAGTGAGTCAGAACCAAGTCAATGGATCGGGGGGGGGGGGGGGGGGGGTGAGCAAGATGCTTTTTAAAGTACTTTATATATACTGATTCCTTACAAAAACCCTGCAAAGTGTGTTCCCTATGTTACAGACGAGGAAACTGAAGTGCAGAGAATTTGAATAATTGGCCCCAGGTGACACAGATAATAATTTGTAGAATTGACAAAGTTGTGATTTGAATTCAGACAGTCTAGCTTCCAGGGCCCATGCTCTTAACCTGTCTGTATATTAGCGTCTCAGTGATAATGCCACGTGTTAGGTGGAATTTAGTTAATGCTTACATTCAGTATTCAGTATTGGTTATGAATGAGTGATCAGTAACTTAACACATAATAATACTGTTAAGTGTTAAAGATTTTGACAAAATATAAGGGCAATAGTATAAATGAAAAGAGAAAAGAGAGGTTACATGGACAAAAACCAATTAATTTAAGTAATCACTACTATAATGGGGAATGTTTTAGATTAAAAATAGTTTAATCTTTAGATGCATTTGATCTCATGTTTCAATACTTTGTTTTCTTTAGTAAATTTCCCATGTATTCTGAAAGTCTGAATTTGACTTTTTGTGTTCCAAACATGTCTTTTCTTTCATCTTTTTTTTTTTTTGTCTATAAGTAATAAGGAGCTCTGGTAGCGTAGTGGTTACGAATCAGGCTGCGAACCTTAACGTCAGCGGTTCGAAACTACCAGCCGCTCCGCAGGAGAAAGATGAGGCTTTCTACTCCCGTAAATATTTACACCCTCGGACCCTGTACAGGGTCGCTATGGGTCGGAACCGACTCAACGGCACTTAACAACAACAAGTAATAGGGAGAATGGAGTCCTAGTGTGGCACTGGGGGATAAAGCACTAGACCACAAGGTCAGGTATCGGTGGTTCAAACTTACCAGCCACTCCTTGGAAACCCTATACAAAGTCACTATGAGTGGGCACCAACTTGACAGCACTTAGCAATAGCAAATAGGGAAAATACAGGATATGAAGCTTTAAAACATTTATTTTTAAGGCAGCAGAAAGAATTAGGGAGGAAAAATGGAAGTGTTTGGATCATTATAGCTTAAAATAAAACAGTTATGTAAGAATTCATATCTTCCTTCAGGAAGACACTGCTTTTGGCTCGCCAGCTTAAAGACAGAGCTGTAGAAGCACAATCTTGTTACAGCCTTGGAAACACATATACTTTACTTCAAGACTATGAAAAGGCCATTGACTATCATCTGAAGCACTTAGCAATTGCTCAAGAGTTAAATGACAGGTAAGTTGTAAATCTTTTTACTCTAGTTTTGGTCAAATAGAGATACATGATTGAATCTTTAGAATTTTTCCTTTATTTTGTTTAGCTTCCTTTTGTTCGTCTTTCTTTTTTAATTCCTTTTTAAGGTAATTCCTCCATTTCAATGTTGTTGTTGTTAAGTGCCGTCGAGTCGGTTCCGACCCATAGCGACCCTGTACAGGGTTTCCGAGGCTGTAAATCCTTACGGGAGTAGAAAGCCTCATCTTTCTCCCACGGAGCAGCTGGTAGTTTCGAACTGCTGACCTTATGGTTCGCAGCCCAATTCGTAACCACTACGCTACCAGAGCTCCTTTCCATTTCAATAATACCCTTCATATTGCTGCTGTTTATAGATCTAGCTTGTGATGGAAGATTAGACAGGCTACATATGGTGTTGAACCAAGACCAGTGAATAAATCACAAACTCACCTACATACAAGGTTCTTCCCAGCTGGATCAGTGTGGGAATTTTGTTGAACTTAGACAATGCCCACAGCTGCTGACGGACTATAGCTACTTGTTGCCAGGCAGGAACAAGGACCCATTATGGCCACATCTCCCATCTCTGCAAACCTTTAGTCCCATGCTGCTTACTTTAGGGAGTCTGATTTTTTACTTCCGTGTGGAAATAACACCAGCCATCCCACCCACAGCACTTTCTACTCAGCTGGGTTTGATAATTCATTGTAATGGCCACACAGATCTCAGACATAATACTCACAATTCTGGGATTTATCAGCAAAGTTAGCAGATTACAATTCAGGGTCAGGAATGTTCCAGGCATGGTTCTTCAGTCAGGACAACCTCTCCTCAGTCATGCCTGCAGGTAGGCCTCTCTCTGGCCCTTGGCCTGGCCTCTGCTCTGCTCTGCTCAGCAGTGTTACAAAGCTCTTATAGGGATGCTGATAAATGCCCACTGGCCACACCACTCCCATTGTAAGTCTCAGCCTGAAGGCATTCTACCCTAGCAAGTGGGTATGCAAACCTAGCTCCCCCAATTGAGTACCTAGTGGTACCACACTCTACAGGCAAGCCTCCTGCCCAGAGTCTTTACTTGTTCTATGTGCTGGGCAGCCCACCACTCTGGCTCAAGCTCTGACTCTTGGTTCTGCTGCAGCTGTTCCTCTGCCACTTTTCCAGTGTCAACAGCTTTCTGTCTTTGGGTCAAGGAGGTTCAATGTGCATGGAGCTCGGGGTCCAAAGGATGCACTCCACTCCTGGTTCTGTGATGGTAGTGAGATTTCCCCTCCTGCTTTGGAATTGGCTCATCTTATGCTTATGCTAGAGCTTCCAAGTTTTTACAATTTGTTAATTCTGTTAACATCCACAGCTGAATAGTCTCATTATATCAGCCTCTTCTCCTACTTCCTTCCCTTACCCAGACCCAGCAAGGCAGAATTGCTGGTTGGTGGGAGTTACAGACTATGACTACATTAACTAGAAATGGTGGCGGTGGTTGTGTTCCGTCAAGTCAGTTCCGACTCATAACAATCCTGTGTGGGGTTTCTGAGGCTAAAATCTTTACAGGAGCAGAACATATTAAATAATTAGTCCTGGTGTGGCACTGTAGGATAAACACTGGACTACTAACTGCAAGGTAGGTGGATCAAACCCACCAGCTGCTCCTTGGAAACCCTATACAGGATCGCTATGAGTTAGAACTGACTTGACAGCACTTAACAACAACACACCATACACAGTATAAGAAATTTTTTATATTTTCAAAATAAAATATGCTACCTCAAGAGGCAGTGAGTTCTTTTTCCTTAGTGGTGTCCAAGCACAAATTAAATGATTATATGGTAAGGATTTCATAGAAAATAGGCTAAACCTATCCCTGAGATTTTATAATGCTTTGTGGTTTTTTTTTTTATAAAAGGAATGTTTTCCATATTTTAACACTTAATTCTGAGTTCAGTATTATCTGTCTATTCTAACAGGTCTCTAGTATCTCGATGGTATTATTTATAGAGGGGGCTTCAAAGAGTTCATGGAAAAATAGATGAAAAGAATGGAATTTTTCCATGAACTTTTTGAAGTTACGTTGTATGAAAGACTTATCCAAAGCATTGTTTATATCATTAATTACTGCTAGATAGATCTCTTCAGATAGCTGCATGTTAGCTGTGAATTTATGTTGCAGAATTGGTGAAGGAAGAGCCTGCTGGAGCTTAGGAAATGCGTACACAGCACTAGGAAATCACGATCAAGCAATGCATTTTGCGGAAAAGCACTTGGACATTTCAAGAGAGGTATGAAACTAAATGGTGTGCAGTGTGGCTTGCATATCAGTGGCGATAAAATGCTGTGTCTCCAAATTGCTTCTCTGTGGCTGAATAAATTTGATTATCGTTATCTTGGTATAAGAGCTTTTCAAAAGCATTTTGAGATACAGATCACAGGTATGTTTGTATTTTGGCTTTGCTGTAGTTGTTGGTTAAGGGTAGTAGAAGAAAAGTTACTGAAATATGTTCCTACCCTACCTTCAACCCTATGTGGGAAAGTAGCATGAGATAGATAGGAAAAATGGCTTTTTGAATCAAGGAGTTTCTATTACAGTTCTGATACTTGTTGGCTATTTAAGCATAGAAGCCTTCTTTGAGCCTCATTTTTCTATCTGTAAAATGAGAATAATAATTACAGATTGTTTTAAGGATTACGGGTAATGTATATAAAAATGTTTGTAGAATAATGCACATTAAAGTGCCTACCACACTATCTAACACTGGCTTAACAAATGTTAAATACTGTTCTTATATAGAAATACCATACTCTACGGAAATCTCATTTGTGTGATGTTAATGTGGCACTGAATGGCTAATCGCAAGGTCAGCAGTCAAACCCTCAGAAACCCTATGCAGAGTAAGTCAGAACTGACTCAACGGCACCTGACTACAGATAATAAGAACCATCCAGTATTCAGTGACCTAAACAGAATTTGTAAAATACTGCCATAGTTTAAAAAACCTTTCCTTTTTCTTTTGATAGGAAAGCTTTTCATAATCTCATAAATCTAATCTAATTTTCATTTCACTATGTTTTCTTCCAGTCTTAGGCTCACAACATTTGCAGTTCATCTCCATTGTTCTTTGTCTCTGTTTAAAATATGAAATCTTGTGGTTGTAGGTTGGGGATAGAAGTGGTGAACTAACAGCACGCCTGAATCTCTCAGATCTTCAAATGGTTCTTGGTCTGAGCTACAGCACAAATAATTCCATAATGTCTGAAAATATTGACATTGATAACAGTTTGCATGGTAAGTAATAGGTCTTCTAAAATCCAATTTCTTTATCAAGATTGTAACTTCAGTGATCACACATGCTTACCATATCCAGAGAGAATGTATAATACAGGAATTTTACATCTTTTTGCCTTATATAAATTATAATTTATCATTATAAAACACGGTAGTATATTTTGTTTTTGACGAGATCTTTTCCAGTTTCTTTTTTTTTTTTTCCTACCATGGACCATGGACTCTCCTAGGATTATTTATTTCACCTTCTTTTTATTCAGAAAGTCTGTGAAATTTCTTTAGATGCTGATTTGGTTGGACATTGCGATAGGAAAAGACATACTGGAATGTCTTTTTAAGAAAAGAAGTCTACTTTTGATTAATGAAATACTTAAAGTCCACTCAGACTTTGGCCCATGACACCAAAACCATTTTTCAGGCATAGTAATGACCTCCATTTACCAAACACATTGGTCATCGGGATTTTTTAGCAATATGTGGTATAACTAATCATTCCCTATTCGAAATACCGAGTTTCTTGGTTTGCCTCCATGTCACTGGCCACTCTCAGTCTTCTTTTTAATACCCAGAGTTCAGTCTTTGGACCTCTTTTCTTCTATACTCTAGATTGGTGCTTCCCAATAGAACTGTGATGATGGAAATATTTTATATTTGTTCTAAGTCAGTAACCACTATATGGCTAGTGTGAAAGAGAAATTAGATTTTTAGTGTTGTTTTATTTTAATTTCATTAAATTAAATGTAGCTGGTAGCTGCCATATTGGACTATATGTAGCTGGTAACTGCTATATTAGATAGCAGAGATCTAAATGATATCACATAGTTGTTGGCTTTCATAACATCTGTGTATTGATGATTTTCAAATTTTTATTCCCAGCCTTGAGTTTGCTCTAGACTGACAGACATAACTTCTTATTTAACATTTCTACGTGAATGTCTAAGATTTCACATATCCACAATAGACCTCCTGACTTTACCTCTTTCCCAGAGGTGCTCTTCCAGTCTACTTCATCTCAGCCTATCAGAAACACTACCTGCAAATATCTCCGTCATCTCTCTTACATCCTCTACTGCAACAACCTTAGTACAAGCCGCCACTAGTATCTTTCAGTAGAGTACTAGCCTACAGTTTAGCCTCATACTGACTTTTCCACAGATGCCTAGAGTACTCTTTTAAAATGAAAATCCCATTGTGTCTCATCCATCTGCTTAAACCTCTTCACGACTTCCTATCACATCTAGAACCCAATCCCCACTTCACACCATGGCTAAAAGAATTTATGTAATCTGTATAAAGTCTCTTCTCCAGTTTCATCTCTTTCACTCCTTCTTCCTCAGTCTGGCTCGTATTTTTTGTTGTTGTTAAGTGCTGTCAAGTTGGTTCAGATAACAAGTGGTTTTTTGGTCTCTTTTATTCATTGCTGTTTCCCCAGTGCCAGGCAGTCGGCTGGCCAAAGAAGCTGCAAATGTGACTGTTTCTGGTGTTGGCTCAGGGTAGAAAAAAAAAATCTTTTCAAAGACTCTAAATTCGTAAGACTGACTACAGTGTGAGTTTTACCACTTACTCAGTCTAAGAAACCCCAATCCAATAAAATGCTCTTGGATTATTAGTGTTCCTAATTATTTAGCAAACACTGGACTGGTAACTGCAAGGTTGGCAGTTCAAACCCACCAGCATCCTCAGAAACTCACCTTAAAAAGGGTCACTGTGAGTTGCAACTGATTCAGTGGCACAAAACAACAACAAGACCACACACCTGTGTGTGTGTGTGTGTGTGTTTATACATAACACGTAACGGTATATCACATATGACAAGGGCAAAAGTTGTTTTATGAAGTTTTTATTACATATTTATGTGTGTTCTGGGTCACAATGAAGAATATATTTCCTAATATGGGCCACAATTTAAAATACGAACATACAGGAAGCTGCAACCGGCCACTGGCCTATTTATGTTCCTTTCAAGCATGTTTGAAACATTCACAAAAATCTGACCACATGCCAAACCAATAAAGCAAATCTCAACACATTTCAAAGAATCTGCATCACATAAATTTCACCTCCTTGTTGTTGTTGTTAATTGCTGTAGAGTCGGTTCTGACCCATAGCAACCCTGTATAAGGTTTCTGAGGAATAGCTGGTGAGCTTGAACTACCATCCTTGCAGTTCAAACAGCTTTGCAGTCTGGTGCGTTAACCCACAGAGTCACACCAAGACTCCTTCTTAGTATACTGCAAATTTATAACAAGAAGTAAAAAGCAAACAAAGTCCCCTCCACAGGTTTCAATATGCAGTGTGGTCAAGTGGGGAAAAGAGCAAGAGGTGGGGTATCATAATACTGATGTTGTTGTTGTTGAGTGCTGTAGAATCAGTTCCGACCCATAGTGACCCTGTATAGGGGTTTTTTTTTTTTTCTTAAATGTTTTATTGTGAATTATGTGATAGTTTACATGGGAGAA